GTACTAATTTAAGAATTTTTTGGACTAGGTGGCTATGGCTGTGTGTTTTGGTTTGATTGGAAGAGGGAGCAGGCACAGTTGAACTCGTAGTAGACCTGGTTAACCATTTTTGTTTTGGACCCATCACAGAAATATCTAGGGTTTGTTCGCTCAGTTTGTAGTTGAGGAAGAAGTGTTTGTTTTGAATATTTAAGGCAACTAGATATGTATTTATAGTTATGATGGATATGTAAGAGAGATATAAGGGTTGTTCAAAAATTAAAAGTTAAACCATCCCGAGGAGATTGAACGGCTAAGGAAGGTGAGTATTTATGGACACTTAACTGAATAGATACAAGACGCGGCTGACTTGCCTTTTCAAGATCTAGCAATTATTCTTTTCGTTAATGAAGTAAGATTTGGTAGGTCCTTTCATTTATGATGCCTAGAAAATTGGTTCAAGATGGAAGAAGGATAAGTTGCATTTCCAATTTTCAAGGGATTAGTTTCTTTTCAAAATGGATTTGGTGGGTCCATTTAATGATAGAGTCTTATATGCCGGTTCAGGAATGGATGAGTTCCCAAGGAACGGCTCATTTTATCTCTTTCAATTCAGAAGGAATTAGTTCCTTCCAAGAAAATAATTTTGGTGGGACTAAGAAATTGACGATTTATTTGTCAATGTCAGAAGAAAAAGAAGGAAATTGGTCTATTTAAATTACATGCCTTTTTTGTGCAAACAAAGGCAAAGAATTTAGGGGGGCAATGTTTACACCCTTATTTTAGCCCAATGGAAAATACATGCACACGTGGAAGGAGTTATGGGCTGAGCTGGTTCGTGATATATGAAGGAATTTGAGTTAAGGCTAAACTCAAGGAATTTTAATTAGAAGTGGTTGATGGTTTTTTGTTTTAAAACAACTTCTCCGGTTGAAATAGGACACGTGGGGCATGGGTATCGATTTATTTGACAGTTAAATTGATATGGAAGTATAACACAAGAGAAGCCACGTAGGAACAAGATGACTTGGTCAAAGGAACGTGTCTATTATTAAACATGGAGAGATTGGAGTTCCTAAAAATATAGAGGTCGGTTTTCCTCAAAAACCACTATAGCCATAACCAAATTGCATGTTTGGGGCCACTACTACCACCATCTGGGAAAATAGGCATGGCCATTCGTCCAGATAAAGAAAATCATGCGATCTATTAATAGCATTAAAGGTCACGATAGCATGATTGATGGCATATTGGAACGTGGGAGTTCCAGAGAAAAACCAAGACACGATTCTATGTTTGGGATGTTGGAGCTCTACAAGAATCAGAAGCACGTTCGTACGGTTACACGTTTGGAACGTGGGAGAGGAACGTGGGAATTCTGGAAGAATCAAAAAGACACGATTGCATGGCTTGGACACTTAGAAATATTTGAAGGCATCAATGGAACTGCTCTTATTAACTGATTGTATCTTTCATTCTGTAAATAGGTCATTATGTATAACGTAATAGGGGCTCAACGCCAAACACAGTATTTTAATACAACTTTACATTTCATTACAATGCACTTTCAATATGATTAGTTTCAATCCTGCACTTTACTTTTCATTAGATAATTGCTTTACTTTCATAAGTAATTTTACAGTTCTTCCTAACCAATTAACTTTCCCGAAGTCCTTTATCAAAGGCAAAAAGAACCCAGAGGTGTTCATTCCAGACCTCTTCACAATCGCCTGGTCCCACAGTCTTCCTTCTCTCTCTTTGGAACTACTGCAGTTCCTGGCACGCCCATCCGGTTTCATCGGAGCAGGCACCAGCTTTTTCAAGGCCAAACAATTCCTTCCAGAGTATTTACTATTTTACAATTTCAAATATGAATTTAAAAGTTTCAATTCCAATAATTTAATTTTCTATTAACATTTAGAGCTTATTTATTAGATCCATCTTTGAATTGTTCCTCTAATAGATTTTTTTTTTAATTCTGAAAGGAGTATAATCTTTAACTAGAATTTTAATAGATTATTCAATTTTTTAAAATTATTTTTTCCTGAATGTTGTATATTATTGATACAAGAAAATATAGCATAATGAAACTGTCTTCAAAGTCAAGCCACATAAAACAAAGCAAGAAAAAAGAAACCAAAAAGTTAACCATGCCATTTCCCAGCTAACAACAAATCAAGAAACAAAAAAATGCATTAAAATTTTTCTTTTTTAAATTTTTTCTTCTTAGCTTTTATATATTTTTCGTCTTTATTTTACCAAATTTTTCGAATTTCTGTTATTTTATTTACTAATTCTCTTTGGAGTTATATGAGATTTATAAGATAATTTTCTTGACAAGTACGTTGTTGTGGATCAAATGACCAAATAGATAGAGTGAGTATATTCCCCTCCGTGCCTACAATAACTTCACTATAATTAATATACGACTTTATAGTTTCTAAACTATATATATATACATATATATAATATCGATCATCGGTGACGTTTTTGAACAATTTTGTAGACTTTAATAGATTAAATTATTATATTTTTACGCCATAGTTTTTGAAAATTTTTGTAGAGTACAACTCTACTAAACCACTGAGAAGAAATTATTACATATTTTCATGGTTTCGGGACAATTGGTCATGGTCAATCACTTATTTAATTTAGAATTATGTAATAATTTTTCACCATTGTGATCTAAGTCAAATAAAATGAGCGTCGAATCGAATTTGAGAGCGGGAGAATAAAAACGACAAAATTTAAGTTATATATAATGAAAATGTTAGAAAAATGCACGTCTACGCGTGAGAATTAGTACGCGTTTAGAGCGTAACAGTGACATCAAGGGACGTACCAAAAACTCATGTGAGGGGGGCAATACTGGTTTTATTTAATAATTTTAGGAGAGGCAAATATAATATTTCTTAAGCATATATGTCAAAATAACAAAAATAATAGGACATAGTAGGAATTTTTTTTTTAAGAGGGATGGCATGAATCCGTCTCTGATGAGACAGTCTAAAAATAATTATATAACTTAGGTTGTGACACCCTTTTACTTCCATTAATTTGTTCTAACAATAGCTTGGTGTAACAGTTGTAACATACAATTTTATTTTCTTATCGAATGATTTTTCTACATTTATTTTTGAAATATATTGTACTAGTTTTTAAAATTAAATGCGTGGCAGATGACCTGTTTGGTTTTTGGAGCCCTGTTCTGAAATTTATTTAATTTTCATACTGACAACTATTGTTTTGGATGGAAGCATATCTGAAAAGTCAACAAACAACAGCTAATGTTCTATCCAGTCAAGAATTTTGAAATTTTGTGCTATATCTCTCTGTCTATATTTATATATATATATATATCTATCCTGTCAAAAACAAACTTACTCCCTCACATTGCCATTTCATAATCTTTAACCATCCAGCTTTAGTAAGATTTCCTTTGGTAACACAAGAAAATACTACTAAGTTATATAATTTTTGGTCGGTAAAATATATATATATAGATAATTTTTGTGATTTTATTTTTATCAATTTATGAAGGATTTGTTTGGCAACTATTACTATTATACTTTGTATGCAAGATATGGCACATTTGATAATCGGCTATCATTTTAGTACCTCATTTATTAGCACTAACAAAAAATATTGGTGGAGTAAAAAACTAAATAACACAATCTTTTTCAATAGTTTTTGCCCTCACGCTCTTACTTACACGTTTCGCGTGCGTTCTTATTCAAATTCTCCCTGCTTATAATTTAATTATGTCACTCTCACGCTCCCATTCTGGAATTCGCTTTCGTTCCCGCTTTATGTGACTTTGGTAAAAAGTATCCCAAAAAAATATAGTGTAGCATGTCTTTTTTAATCAGAGAATGAGAGAAGCCTCTGTTGTTCTCCTCGCTGTGATAGGTATGCTCTCAACCCTTTTCTCGTGTCATCTGTAACTGCTACAACAAACTCACTAAAAACCAATTATGCAAACCAAACTATGCCTTAATTTAATCAAATTTGTGATCACACCATTCATTTCAAAATTGTACATTTGGTGACATTCTAGAAGAGGCTTTAAAGGGATATGCCTCCCCCAACTTAAACACCATAATACAGTTATTTTTTCTCCATCAACCAACTTTATTTTTACTTCTCTTATGTTTTTACCGCGCAAAGAACTTCCACAATATTCTTGAAAAGATGACAATTTTTCTTTTTTAAGATTTATCTCTACAACTTCGATTTAAAAAGAAATGAAATACCACTGGACATGGTCTATGTGTGTTGATTTCATTAACCAATTTTGCACTTGATTATTGATAACAAAATGTATAAAACACCCACCGTTGGGGAAAAAAAGTACAAATAATTAGTGTGGTGGAATAATTAGCCCACTTTAATCATACATCCCCATCTTCCTTGTACCAATTCTTTCCAATAAGAAAGTAGACACCTTATTTCTCTAAGCTTAGTAGACGTTGGAGTTTACGGTTTGCCCCGAAAAACCCTAACACATATGTTGGAGTTTACAATTTGTCCCGCAAAATCATAACACAGACGTTCGACTTTACAATTCGCCCTAAAACCATCCGAGTTTACAATTCACCCGAAAACCCTTATCCACTAAGCCTCCAATTAGATCAAAGCAATAGTGTTTACAGGATCAACATAATTTCAATTTGACTACGGAAAATGAAGAACAAGTTTACCTCCAATGTAACAAAACCAGACCATATGATCCATGATCGTTAACATCATCACCCTTACCTTGATCTCAATCGAACCAAATGGCCATATTATATATCCAAACTACTACAAAAAGAAAAAATAACACTAAAAAAGAATCAAATTAGTTACAGTAGCAATGCTCTCTCAAGCATCAATTTTTCTTCGAAGTTTGCCAATTAACTATTTTCGCATTGATCAAATCTACCAAATGCACAGAAGAACAGAAAGAAACAACTCCTTCGAATTAGCAGTTCTCAAAAATTCCAAGAAAAAATGAACAGCATTGATATAGATCAAACAGATTCACATCAAGAAACAATTTCAAGTAGAATAATAAGGTCATATTTACATGAGCAATGGCACACAAATTTGTCCCAAAAGAGAAAAACAAATGGGATTTTTATTTCACACCATAGTGCACATCCCAAAAACAATCCATTTAAACATACAAGAGAAAACATTATTTTTCACACTTGTAAATCTAAGGAATGACTAACAATAATATTAGAAACAGATAGATCTTACAGAGAAGAACCAGAGCTTTTCCCTTCACACACCAATCTCTTTTGAGATCATTCGAGCAACACGGAAGGTAAAAAAAGGGGAAGAGAGAGCAGGTAATGCAGCACCGTCGCAATTGCAATCCACAACAGAGTATACAAAAACCACCAACACCGCCCTGAAACTCTATCAATCCACGAGAGTATCCGAAATCCACTACTACCAAACTCTGCCAAATTCGAATGGAATTGAAGGAGAGTCAAATTTCACTCAAACAATTATATCACAATGTAGATTCCAAAACTCCGCCTAGTCAGTATACCACCAACCAAGCTTAAACACACCCAATTACAGATATGAGGATGTCTGGGAGGCAAAGAAGTCTGTAGAATTCATTCAATTCTTCAAACCCTAATTTGCAAGAACTGATTTTTACACGTTGCAAACTGAATTCACAATGAACCTCCTTCGTTTGCCACAAGCACTCTGAGGAACCATTGTAGTATGTAATCAAAGTCACAAACCAAACCCTAGTTTCACAAACAATATGGGGTACTTGATTCTTGAATTGCGACGAATTGAGAAAACCATTTTCTAAATTCGATGGTGAAATCAATCCCAACACTGTAATTCTTCTTCACTCTCCCTAATCAGAACATGAAACTGGGACGATAGAACACTAAAACCCTAGGGGGAGAATGCAATGAAACGAAGTAGTAAATACCTAAAACTAATAATAATGCATCAAATTTGACAAACCCTAATTCTTCCTCTGAAATGCTCGCTTGAAACTAAAACCCTAACCCTAATTTTACTAACATTTCTCATTTTCACACAGCAAGGAAAATAACAGACATACATATTATCAACACCATTGTCAATTCAGGATTCAACGAGGATCGTCTTCTCTCCGTCCTGAGGACGCTGCCGGTGCGCCGGACAAAGAGGCGAGCAAATTCAGGTGGCCCTGAGCTATCGGAAGGTAATTCCCAACCCTAGCCGCCGACGCCTCGCCCATCGGTTGCTGCTGAAGGAATCTCCCCGAAATCGAAGTCTGCGACCCCATGGCAGGACTCGGCACCACCATATCCGGTGGCGCCGCGGCGAAGCTCCACACCTGACCGAAGTCCGGCCTAGCAGGTAGCGCCCAGAACCCTCCAGCGGGACCCACCACGGACGCCGCCGCCGCCACAGCGGCGGCGTTGTCTTTAGCTCCTCCGTCCATGCCCTCGTCATCGTCGGAGCGTAGCCGCTTGCCGAGAATGAACGGCGTGGGATGAGTGAGCAACGGCTGAGACGGCTTGTGATCAAGCGCGGCGGAGATTGAGTTGTTGGATGAGTTCCGAACAGAGACCGAGACGGTGGAGAAGCTCGCCGGGGTCGTCCCGGTGCCGGTGGCGGCGATAATCGACGGCTCCGCCTGCCGGAGCAGCCACTCGATGGTCTGACCGTCCGACTTGTGACCCAGTTCGCGGGTCAGCTGGAAAACCCTGGCGGCGCATATGATCGGCATACGGATGCGCCGCCCTCTCCCGTCGACCTTGCTGTGGCGGTCCTTGGCAGGTGGTTTCTTCACCGTCAACGCACCGTTACCCGACGACTGCTGTCTCTGTGGGTCCATGATTGCGCCGTTACTAACGCCGTTACCCGCTCCGTCAGAAGTTGACATGAGTCTGTCTATCAATAGACTATAATCTATACACTCTTTTAGGTTAGAGAGAAATAGGAGGGTAGAGAGAGAGAGAAAGAAAACAACTCAAAGGAGTATCAAATTATCAATCAAAAAACACAAAAGTGTGTATTTTGATAGAGATGAGCTGTGTGTTGGTGTTGTTTGTGTGTAAGGAAGAGAGAGAAAGAGGAAGGAAAGGAAGGAAACAGGAGTCTAATGATTGAGGGGGAAGGAGAGAGGTGGTGTGGAGACAGGAAGAGAAGAGCACATGGGTGGTGGGGTCCACGTCCTACTCTTCAGAGATGGGACTAGTGATGAGTTAAAGGAGAGTCCACGCGCTCTCTCACTCACTTCCCTTCTCTTTCTCTCTCTCCTCTTCTTTCCCTTTCCAAATGGAGGGGAATTTAAGAGGGAGGTTGTCAGAGAGACCCTACTTTTTCTTCTGGCACTTGAAATTAGTAGAAATATTAGCAGCAAAGTGTGTGGTCCTCTACAGCCTGGGTCTTGGGTCCACTAACTTGGAGTACCCACCAATTTATAGCGACTCTCCTTATTTCATACAGTCCATGTTCAATTTATTGACACCACTTAATTTCATAAAATCCAATTTCACTATTTTTTTTTTTTTTTGTGCATATGAAATTAGTCTTATATCATATTTGGAAGTACTTAATCGACATAAAAATTTTAAAATTTAAAATTTAAACTATTTATTTTTAATTTCATATTTAAGTTGTTGATGCTATGCTCTTAAAAATAATATTAATGTATTTTCTTTAATTTTCTTTATGCATAATTCTTTTTCGATAGTAATAATATAAAAATTATTCATATTTTGTACGTTTTGAAGTATATGTATAATGTTTAAGAGAAGGAACTTGGAACTAAAATTACTAATTGCCCTCGTTTAGATATTATATTGTACCTTCTTTTGTACCTTATTTTCATAAAGGCTTATAGGTGGGGAGAAGCAATTCATCAAAAATGAAAGTGATATATATATATATATATATATATATATATATGTAACAATTTTAGGCATTTTAGCAAGAACTTTTGAAAACAATTTATAGAGTATGACACTTGAAATTAGTATATTGTATCTTCTCTTTATAAAGGCTTATGGGTGAGGAAAAACAATTTATCAAAAATTAAAATTAGAGAGTGGAGGGGGGAGAGCATTTTTAGGCCTTTATTAATTGGAAAAAATAAAATAGTTGTTAGGCATTTTAGAAAGAACTTTTTAGACCAAATATATAGCTAAAATAATCAAATTAGAAATTAATTGATAAGACCTAATAATGATAACATGAAGTTGATTAAATTATCTTACAAGATATAATTCAATCCCTGTGACATTTTAAAATTCATTAAATTTTGTTATAGTACTGAACTTGTTAATAATGTAATATGTCAGACAATGTAAATCTAATCTTCAAGAAAAAAATGGTAATATGACATGGTTTGCTATCGCAATATTGGTCACGGATTCAAACAAATATCGATGTAAACCGGTCAAGCCGATCGATTCATAAAGGTCTGTGATGATATCAAACCATTAAAAAAGGATTACGAACCAACCGATACATCGTGTATTGCTTGATATAACAAATCATGAGTAGGATCTAAACAAGGGGGAAAAAAAAAATCAAAAAGAAGTGTTTATAGGACGTAGATAGAGACAATAAAAAAGGGTTGTAAGAGTTGTCCCAAATATGAACATTTACAAGAGTTAAGTGAAGAAAAAATAAAAATAAAAAATAATAATAAAAAAATAAGTAAGGGCATTTTCATTTAAGTTGGAGTCAATTCACCTTCCAAATGAATAGAGCATGAAGGGCCAATTACGTACACACTTAGTTATTGTTGGATTGTCACCATCATGGTCCAATGAGAGCTGAGTTGGTAAATTTAGGTGACACATGCTTCTAATGTGCCCTTAACGACCGAAAATCTCATTCTAAAGCTGTCTCAAATCACTCAATCCATTTTAAGTTCTCTGATTTGTATATGAAATGGAAAATTTACTCCCCATTACAAAGAGTTCGAATTCTTCTTGGACCATCTTTGGAGAATTTTTTGAATAATTGTTCAATAGATGCAGAATTAAAGAACTGTATGATGTGCTCTAAGTGGTGGGATACCATCGTCGACAAAATAAACAAATAAATAAGTTTCAGCATTCTTTAACCATGTTTTTTAAAAACTTTTTTTTAATTGAAATTTCAAAAAATAAAAATAAATAAATTTAAAAGAGATATTTTCAAAACCCAAGAAAAATTTATGAAATTTCAAATTTTCATCTCTTAATTTTTGAAGACACTTAGGAAAGTAGGAGTATATAATCCGATCATTTTAGAATATACGTGCATGAATATTCAAAATTTTTATTATTTGTTGTCAATAAAAGTATATTTTAATTTGGTTTTTGGTGTAATTAAATATTTAGACATAATGTGAACTTTAACTCAAGGCAATTAAGGTGGTTATCTAAGAAATTCACATGGAAAAAATAAATAAATAAATGAGAAGCTGAATACCCTTCAACTACACTCTTCAATTATATACTACTGAAGTTTCATCTCCTCTTTTTTTTTCATCTCACAACTTTTTCTTACTTCTTACTTGTCTTTCTCATGCATATCATCTTATTTGTCTAATTTAAGTTGGTTTATATACTATATAAAATAAAATTAATGAATAATATTTACAGTATATTAAATTAAATCATATATTATATATAATTATATATTTAAGGGTTTTTTTTTTTTTTTTTTTTTTTTTTGAGTCAAAAAAGCCTTTTTTCCTAAATTTGAAATTTGAAAAATATTCACGTTGAGGTGGAAAAATATCACTCACATACTTTATCCTTAATGCCTTGCCATTTATGTTTGATATGAAATGACCAAAATACCCCATCAACATTTGTACATGTGCATGATTTCTTTCACAAATTTTAGCATAATGAATAACTTTTGGCGCACATGTGCAGAAAAAGTTGTACATGTTGGTGCACAAAAGTATTAAATGTGCACTACAAGTGAGATATATATATATACATACTGGTGCAAAAAATTACAGACTCGCGCAAAATTTTCAACAGATTTAGTTAAAAATTATGCAATAATGCTCAACTTGGTGCAAGAAAATTATACACCATTGACGGAATGGAAATGACCAATTTGTGCATGTTAATATTTTATATCCTTTAATTATGATTTCAAATATACTTCATGACACCAACTAGTCATGTGTCTCACATACCTGGTACGGGTCACCTCTTGATGAGTTATGCAGTTAGTCTGAGTGTCTCAAATTTTTAATTTTTTCATAATTATTTTTGAAAAAGTCCATTTTAGAAAGAAGAAAAAAATCTTTTGACTACAAGTCATTATAAATATGCTTCCAAAAATCCAGTTGTCTAAAAACATTTCCCTTACGTTAATCAAAGCATATTAACTATGGAATTAAGAGTTGAAATAACCAATTTGTACATATTGACATTTTATATTCTTATAATTATGAACAAAAATACACTTGACGACTAGTTGAGTGTTTCACATAAAGATAGGAGACATCACATGTTGTTGTGATTAGAGACGGATTCAAAAAAATTACGTTAGAAGAGATGGCATTTAATAACAAGAAGATAAAAAAAAATTCAAATTATGAAGTGAGGACAATAGTGGTATTTTTTGTAATTTTAGTATAGACAATTTTAAAATTTTATAAATACATAATTTTTTAAAAAATAATTAGTAAATAAATAAATAAATTTAGTGGGAGCAATTGCATCCACTGGGCCTACTATAGGCCAGTGTAATGCGACATATCTGCTTATGAAACACCTTATTAGTGAGGTGTTGTCAAATTTTTTATATCTCTATCTATATATTATTTTTCAAAAGTTCATTTTAGAAAAATAATAATAATAATAATAATAATAATAATAATATTTTAACTTCGGATCATTATAAATATGCTTCCAAAAATTCATTTATCTAAAAAAAAAAAAAAAATCATTTCTCTTATATTAATAAAAGAATATAACTATAGTTGAAAAATAAAACGTGTTTTACACGCTCTTGACATGTATGCCTACGCTTGACATACAAATTTGTTTCAACATATATTGTCTCATTAAGTCAGTTAATGTGTCATAGATTTTTCGATACCCACCAACAAGCTTGTAACTTTGCCATTTTTATTCCACAAATAACACCGTTGTTTCCGGAATTAAATCTTACTACAAACAGATAATATTGTATGGTGTGATATGATACATCACATAAAAGCCGTTGGATCAGTAGATAATGACATCACAAAACTGATTTACGTCATCTTTTCAACAGAGAGAAATTTGATGTTTGTTTTGTATGTGAGCGTATTACTCATGAAATATTCAGAAATAGTCCCCTCTAATTTCAAATAAAAGGGTTATATATATTGTTCATAAATATTGCCCAATATTACTCTTAAATTTTATTTCAAAAGGTTTTATTTCAATTGAAGTGACGCACTTATATATAAAAAGGCACTTTCCCTCTTCACACCAAACGATGTGGGAGCTCGCCCAGAGTATGATAGTCTGCCCGTGCCTTTTGTCACAGAATGTAGTAGTTTGTCAATGCCTTTTGCACGTGTCACGACACACCCGCCCACACCAAATTATGGTAACCTACTAGTGCCTCTTGTACCAGCGCACAAAGTCGCTTAAAAGATAAAATTCAAAAGTTTAGGTACAACCTAATTACACCCTCCAAAATTACACTTATTAATGAAATTATTTACATAAATAAAATACTTATTAAATCAATGATCCAAAAATATCCAAACATTAAAAGGATATTGGAAAATTGATCGGAAGGGATTAAAAAAAAAAAGGAGGAAAAATGCAATTCAGAGCTACTAACAAAGTTTTTCATTTGACTTAGTTATAATTAATATATAACTCATATTATAGGTATATCAAGTCTTTACTATTTTTTTTTTCCTTTTTTTCCCTTCTCTGGGTGACATAAAATGCCAAAAAAAAAATAATAATAAAGATATAAAATATAAATAAAAAACAGGATATCAGGTCTTTACAGTTTTTTTTTCCTCCATTTTTTTTTTTTTCCTTCCAAATATTAAAAAAACATACACTTAGGTTTATATTATTTAACATATCTTTGAAAAAAAAATTGGCAAAGTTTAATATAATTGCCACACTCACTACCTTCACCGTCAAAAGAAAAAATTTGGTAAAGTTTAATATTAATTGTCACACTCACCACCTTCATCATCAAAAAAAAGTATTCACATACCAACAGGCCAGTGGCTTAGCGATATCCGCCTCTTACTTACCAAAATCTAAAAAGTAACATCAACATTTGTAAGAGGGTAATATCACCACTTAAAAAGTAAAGGTTGTTGACAGCC